CTTGAAAAACGAGGACATCTGAGATGTATGGGAGTGGAATGCCTCATCCTGGGAGCAGATGCAGTGGAGGCAAAGAAATTGGGAATAGGGGATGGCATTTTTGCAGGAAGGTGGGTGGGAGGAGGTGTATTCTAGGTAGCTGTGGGAGTCGGTGGGCTTGAAATGGATATCGGTTTCTAGGTGGTTGCCGGAGATGGAGACAGAGGTCCAGGAAGGAGAGGGAGGTATTAGAGATGGTCCAGGTGAACTTAAGGTTGGGGTGGAAGGTGTTGGTGAAGTGGATGAACTGTTCGAGCTCCTTGTGGGAGCACGAGGCGGCCCCGATACAGCCATCAATGTAACGGAAGATGATGTGGGGTTTGTATCGGTGCCTCCTCGTGCTCCCACAAGGAGCTCCAACAGTTCATCTACTTCACCAACACTTTCCACCCCAACCTTAAGGGGGGTTGGTGGGGATGGGTCCAATTTGACTCTTTCCTCTTTGGTCGCTGCACCACAGATCTCTCTGTCAGTTGTTCCAGTTCGTTGGTTGTCTCATTGGGCTCACTGCTGACATCCCTACGCCTCCAATTCTCACCTTCAAACAACCACCAAACCTTAAACAGATCATCGTTTGCAGCAAACCACACAGCTTTCAGGAAAACATAGACCACAACACCACACAAACTCTGCCATGGCAACCTCTGCCAGATCATCGACATGGATATTACAATCACACGTGAGAACCCACCCACCATGTACATGGCAGATACTCATGTGACTCGGCCAATGTTATCTATCTCGTGCGCTGCAGGCAAGGATGCCCTGAGGCATGGTACATTGGCGAGGCCACGCAGATGCTATGACAACAGATGAATAGACACTGTGCAACAATCACCAAACAGGAATGTTACCTCTCAGTCTGGGAACACTTCAGCGGTGAAGGACATTCAGCCTCCAATCTTAGGGTAAGTGTCTTCCAAGCAGCCTTCGAGATACCCAACACAAAATTGCCAAGCAAAAACCGATAGCCAAGTTCCATAGCCACAAAGACTGCCTCAACCGTGATCTTGGGTTCATGTCACGCTACATATGACCCCACCACACTTCTGTATCTGTAAAATCTTGCTTACTGACACCATCACCTTGATAAATTATGATCTCTGTACCTTAATTAGTTCACACAGTATTGGATAATTTATTACTTTGTTAGACCCTCAGCACGCGACTCTTATACCTATCATGTTATTCTAGTCCTTTGGTTTGTCTCCAGTACCACCTTATTTTTAATTTGTTGCAATTATCTCTCTGCCATATTTAACCGAATTATAGGTCATCCCTTCACTTATTATTCAGCTGTTGACACTTTACTCACTGTCTAACACTCCTGGTCACCTACAGAGACTTATTATCTGACACTCTGCTCACACTATTTGTATGATCTTTTGATCTCTCAGACCTTGATTTCTCTGTCTATAAACTCTATGGCTACGTGCTCTTCTCTCAGTGCACCTGACAAAGGGGCTGAGCCCTGAAAGCTTGCGAGTTCAAATAAACCACTATAACCTGGTGTCAATAAATGCAGGAATAAAAACAAAGTTGCTGGAAAAGCTCAGCAGATCTGGCAGCATCTGTGAAGGAGGAAACAGAGTTAATGTTTCGGGTCCGGTGACCCTTCCTCAATAAATGCTGAGCTGGAAAAGCACAGCATGTCAGACAGCATCCCAGGAGCTGGGAAGTCAGCGCTTCAGGCCAAAACACTTGGTCAGGGATGGGGAGCCCAGAAATAAATAGAGGGAAGGGGCGCTGAGGCTGAGGGAAAGAGGATAGTTGAGATGGAGGGTCTAGGCCCGAAACGTCAGCTTTCCTGCTCCTCTGATGCTGCTCGGCCTGCTGTGTTCATCCAGCTGTACACCTTGTTATCTATAGTTGAGATGGATACAGGTCGGGGGTTACTGTGGTTGGTCAGTGGGAAGGGTGGAGCTGATAGGTGAGCAGGAAAATGGACAGGCTGGGGGAGAAGAGATTTTGAAGCTGGTGACGTCAATATTCAGGCCATTGGGCTGTAAGCTCCCAAGGTGTCGTGTGACTTCTGAGTTAAGTGGATTGACCTCTCAATTTTAACTGGAGACACCCAGACGTTCACAGTGCACACTTCTCTTTTTTTTTGCTCTCTCTCCTTTTTCCCCTTCCCGGCACTGACCTAGTACCCTTGCTGGCGGCCGAGCTCTGACACAAGTGAATGCGAAGCTCCCTCAGGTGCTGACTTAACTTTGAGCCGATGCCTCTCGCCGCTGCTGCCGCCGCCGCCATCTTGGATAAACCGCGCCTCCCCCACGGTCGACCACCTGCCAATCCAAAACGACCGCTGCCTTGATTGACTAAGAGAATTCACCAATCCGCACCGGGAGGCCGCCCTGGCAGCCAATCCATGATGAGGGGCGGATACTACGGATGGATTGACGTGCAAATTAACCAATAGACATGAGGAATGTGCCGCGCCGTAACCAATAAAGGTTGAGGCGAAAGAGGCGCGGTCACAAGGATGAGTGACATCAAATAGGCCAATGAAATGTGGGAATCTCTGTACGGATTTACCAATCACCGCGGGTCCTGCGTTTTTCGGGGGATTGTGGGATAGGCCTCTGGAGTTGGGAGGACTCCGAGTGTTTGGTGATCTCTGGCGGGATCGATTTCCCAATTTGTTGTGATCGAGTGGATTAGGAACGGATCCAAGATGCCGGAAAGAGACAGTAAGTGACCGGCGCTGCTCAGCTTCCCGTTGGAGATGGTGGGGATTGATGAGGCCGAGGCCTGGAGCTGGAGTTGGCGCACAGGCCCGGACTGCTTGCCGAGGCCTGGGCTGTGTAGCTACAGCGGCCCGGTGACGGGGTGTACGGCCCATCCTCGGCTGCGCAGTAACCCCGAACCCTCTGAGTGAGCTGGTCGCGGATTCAAATCCCATTCCAGAAACTTGGAGCAAAATCCAGCCTGACACTCGTAATACAGGGCTGAGGGAGCGCCGCACTGTCAGACAGTACTGAGGGAGCGCCGCACTGTCGGAGGGTCGGGGCTGAGGGAGCGCCG